TAGAGATTGGCTAAGAGCTGGAGGAAAGAGGGGAGAAACATCGCATAGGCACACATACAATGTTAGAGTCGTACAGGCTGTATGATAGAAGGTAGCAACAGTTACAAGATTAGAAGGATTCAAACTACCAATCGTGGTGTGAGAAAGAGGCTTAAAGGGGGGAATGCCCTGGCCTTTAGATTTATTCAAATAACACTTGCCTAAATGGAAAGGAGAATATTAAAGTATTTGCAATAGCTATGGGTTATGAGAAAGATAAGTGCATCAGTCAACATTCGAGGACAAATATTCTAAAGGGGGGAATGATGTTACGTCCCGCAGTATTATGTCGATATTCTGCCCTACACTATTATATTACGATGATGTTACGCCCCACAGTATTATATTACGATGATGTTACTCCCTACAGTATTGCATTACGATGATGTTACGCTCTGCAGTATTATATTACGACGATGTTACGCCCTGCAGTATTATACGTAAAATTGTTGTAAGATAATTGACCTCAGTTCAAGGACAAGATTATTTGGAGATTATAAGCATAATGTTATTTCAAACAAGTGATGAGTAAATTTTTGAAGGTGAAGTGTAAGAAAATCGAAGAAAATGAATTTTCGTTGAAGTTTGACATTTTGGGATAAAATACGGCCCGAGCTAAAGTACATGGTACTTATGAACTAGTACCATACAAGGTACCACATGACCATGATAATAAAGTGTATAAGGTATGTTAAAAGTGAGTAGTATTTTACGTAATTTGAGATAATTCCTAATTATGTAGATAATTGAGTAATTATTGGTTAATGGGGATTAACAAATTAAGTAATGAGTTAAGTGGATAATTTTTGGATAAACCTTATAACCACCAACATGGAAGCCCATGAGATTGGATAAAGAATCAACTGGTGACTCTTGAATCACATGGAAAGGTGTCACAACTAAAGGATTATGTGACTTAGTCATCAAAAGTGTGGGGCCCACACCTAAAGACTTAAAAAACAAAAACAAACCATTCTAATTCATTTGGTGTCTCTACAAATCATTGAAAAGGATCAGCAAGAAAGTTTCATCCAAGATTATACATTATAGTAACGTGCTTCAACAAGAATTTATATAAAACCCTTACAATGCTATAGCAACGTGAGATTTGCGATTTCAAGGAAGTATGGTGCAATCTTTCCTAAGAATATAATATGGATTTTCTCCCTACTTCGATCCGCCGTTACGTGATGTCGCAATAGATGTGTGTTAGAGGAATTGTCAAGAGAATCAGTCCAGGTATGTTAAGGCTACCCCTCCTTTCTTTTGGCATGATCTATACGGCACAAACGAAAAGAAAAAATGCACAACTTTCATAAATGACTCTATTCATCGAAATACAAGGGGTGCCTATATTCTTGATTCCCCATGTGAATTACTATTATATCTTCTGTTCATGGGTCTCAGAAAAATACGTATTTGATAAAGTTTATCCGAAAGTCACATGGATTTTTATGGCACTCTGAGAAAAACTTATTAATGTATTTCTTATGCATTTCATATATTTATACATGTACATTGACCCATGACCGGATGGCGTTATATATGCGTATATATGTATATTATATTTATATAGGATATGGGAAAAGGTTACGGCGTTATATACGCACCACCACCTGATCAGCTGGTATACATTAATAATTTTGCCACAGTGACCGAGATGATATGATGGGATGCCCTCAGAAGCTTGATGATGTTATGAAACATGTACCTATACACGACATGACATTCATATGCATATGCATGACATTATAACTATTTCATCAATTACAGAGTTATCTAGACTTACAAGTTGAGTCATTTACCCTATATTCCTTCCATCTCTGTTATGTACTTATTTATGTGCCTTACATACTCGGTACATTATTCGTACTGACATACCTTTTGCTTGGGAACGTTGCGTTTCATGCCTGCAGGTCCCAATAGACAGGTCAAGAATCCTCCAAGTAGGCTATCAGCTTAGCGGAAGATGTTGGTGTGCTCCATTTGCTTCGAAGTTACTTGTTTGGTTAATATGATTTAGACGTGTATTGTTTGGTATGGCGGGACTCTGTTCCGACCTTTATAAAAATTATGTATTCTTAGAGGCTTGTAGACAGATGTCATGTACGTAAAAGATTGTTTGGACTTGTCATCCTATGTTCAGTATATGAGTGGTTATTTTGTTCTTATAGGCCCTTATGTCGTATGCATAAGTTGGTATTACATGTTGTATCCTACTTATCTCACGGCAGCCTTCCGGCTCAGTTATCTATGATAGTATGATATGAAAAGATATGTTATGTTGGTACTCAGTTGAGTAAGGTACCGGGTGCCCCTCGCGGCCCATCGGTTTGGGTTGTGACAGCTCTCTTGACTGGAAGAAGACAATACTCAATTGAATATGATAAGGGATAATAGTGTAACTTATGAGACTAGAAAAATGTACATAAATTCAGGAATATGAATTTCTCTTTATGCCTCGTTATCAAACTTGTGTAATTAAGAGTTCATGCCAAAATGAAGGAAGGGCTTAGCCTTAACATACCTGTATGATCTCTTCCTTATTACTCAACCAAGCTCAACACAACTTCTTGCATCTACAATAAGTGAAATGATATTGTCGTTAACATATAATGTCGTACCATCGTATTTGGCTAGTCGCATGACTTAAGGAAAATCGGGCAGCAACTCCCCTATTTTTAATATATTCGAAAGACCACTAAGGGTCATCAACAACCCAACAACAACAACTATAATCAACACTAGCAACAACAACAATATAATCCAATATGAGTTTCTCCGATTATCTTAGCAATCATATTGAGCGGCAAGCTCATTTTTTTACTCATAACAAGATATAAATTGAATCCAACTCTTATTCCATAAATTAGTTTACAACCTTTAAAGCATCATACTTATATGTACCATATTATTACTTGTTTAAAACCTCTACAAAATGCCTTCCAAAACAGCCCTATACGCCTAGCACCTTAATTTTTATCGTCAATCACTTGTTTTTCATCTTTTCTTCTTCAATCAACTTAATTAATACCTAGGAAAGCTTAACAACAGTATCCACAATATTATCAAATTATTTCTCACAATTTTCAGCCACCACAAATCATATTTTTAACCACAAAATAGTCCAACCAAAAAGACAACCGTATCCCATGTTCCTTCAAGTGCATCTTATGGTTTTTCACTCAAACAACACAAGATTAACCTTAGGCACAATCAAGAAGATGTTATACATACCTTGTACAACAGATACAACTCGAAACCCCATCTCAACTTAGCTCAAAATAGCCATCAATCACACCACAACATCATAGAAGTATTCTCTTGTAGTCTTTAACACCTTTGATGAAGATTTGTGTTGATTTCTCTTGAGCTTAGTTCTTGGAAACTTGGACAAGTTCTTGGAGAGTTTGAGAGTGTTTTGCAGTAATTGATCACTGGATATTGACAAAATATTATGGATAAAGACAACTTATAAGCCCACCGCCTCAATTCTCCAAGCAGGTGGGTAAGCTGCCTGCTTGGCAGCTTGAGCAGTGCCACTTCGGATACTTGTATCTCTCTACTCCGATATCGTATTGGCAAACGGTTTGTGGAGTTGGAAACTAGACACATAGCGCTTTAATTCCATATAAATATATCCATGTAAATCTCAATATATTGGGAGAAAACTGCATCGCAACTTGGCCTATAAACCTGCCAGTTTCTCCGAAGTGCGGGCTTGGTGACCCTAGTTTAAAAATTCTTATTTCTCTACTCCCATGTCGTATGAATAAATGGTTAGTACCATTGGAAACTAGGTCCAAGACCTTCATTTTGATATGATATATGTCCCAAAATGACATCATAAAGCTTATGAATTTAATTTCTCAAAACGGCTCGTTACAAGGCAAATCTTAACTCGATTTTTCCGTAAGTTAAATCCAATTTTTCCAAAACATTATATTTTATGTCCAAACATCATATATAGTCATATTATGACTTTACACTCATTCAATCATGATTAAAAAGTCTCGTATTCATTATACGTCACCTTAGAACGCACATAGTGTAACACCAAACTTGTCGACTTTCGACAAAACTTATCTTCTTCAATTCGTTTAGCTTCTAAGCATTCCAACCATCTTGGTACTTGTTGTTCATGATCTTAAATATTATTAACTTCCACGGTATCATGATTAACTTACTTTATAAATTTTTCAAAGATGATTTCATTTCTGAGCTTACATTAATTGACTTACGACGTACTCTTAAGTACGAAAACATGGGGTGCAACATTTCCATACTAAAAAGAAAGAGTATCAGTAACATAAAATTAATTTACAGAGAATGCTACTTCTTAATGGTCCTGGATTCATCCATTCGGTACTTCTTCAGCTGTGGAGGAGACACATTGCCTCAGGTGGTGTTATCTAATTCTATCACTTTACCGAAAAATTTAATATATGTACTGAAAATCTATTTTTTCAAATTACGTAAGCACTATACCACTTGAAAAATAATGTAAGTAAACATCAGTCTTGAATATAAGTAGCTTTATTAAAATCCCATAGCATATTCAGACCCGTCTACAAGCTTAATTGTGGCAATATTAGCACTGTTTGCATAAAATTTTACATATGCTACTATTGTTTAGGTTAGACAATGAATGATCAACTAAAGTTAAAAAGTTACTGCTTGTATTGTTTTGAGGTTGATTCCAAATGCTGTACAAATATATATTAAAGGGTAGACAAGAAAGCTTAATCATTTATGTGAGCAGAGAGACTAAAATTTGAGAGAACATGTGAAGTACTTGACAAGCAAAAGATAGATTCCAAAAGCAACCAATGTTTTCTTCTTTTTGCTTAGTTTCCTGACATCCCAAGAAAACATATATTCTGGCTTGAAAAGCAATATATAGTTAAAGAGAAGAACAAACAGAAGAAAGTCCTCATTTTTATGAGTTTGCTATGCTAGTTAAGTAACAGCTCAGCTTCTTTCTGGAATCAGAAGTTTACTGTTTTATAACTTTTACCTGTTGCTCTCACTTTAGGGACCCCACTTTCCCTCTTCTTATTCGAATGCTTGCAGCAGCAAGAGCATATTCATTATTCAACATGGTGATGGATTCAAGAAGTAGCACTATGAAATTTTACATTCTTGCTTTACACACATTTCAATTGCTAGCCTCAAGCCCCTTTGGTCTATGTGGTAAGTATGCATATAATTTGAAGTCCACTGCACCACCCTTTCAACATACATTGTTGTTACATTCAAAAAATCTAGACGTTGTTAGTTCTGAGTTTAATTCCATCTGCATTTCTATTTCGCACGCATATACATATAAGGTCCGAGTTCTGCTGAACTTGTGATAACCCATAGTTGAATCCGTCACTGATACTCATACGCTTTGTTTTTGCCAAAAAAATGCAGATAGAGCCGGGATAAATCCTGGCTTTGGACTGCACAGGAAAGTAAGACTGCTGCAGGTTGGATCAACCAGTCCAGAGAACCCTTTTCCATATGGAATATACACTTCCCCTCCTCTGCTTTCAGGAGCTGTACCACCACCAACTCCAGGGAACTCTCCTAATCCATATGGGATATTCACTCCTTCTCCTCCTACTCCTTCAGGGGCAATGCCACCGCCATTACAATCCACTTCTGCACCGCCACCATCTCCTCCTACTCCTTCAGGGGCTATGCCACCACCTTTACTTTCCATTTCCCCGCCGCCACCATCTCCTCCTACTCCTTCAGGGGCTGTGCCACCACCTTTACTTTCCATTTCCCCGCCACCCCCATCTCCAAATGCACAAAGTCCACAGCATAATGCACCTAAGCAGCCACCACCGAATAGTCATTCATCGCCACCACCACCAGCTCCTAATAAGAAACCTGAGAATGCAGTTTGGTGCGTGGCTAAGCCAACAGTACCAGCAGACTTGATTCAACAGGCACTGGACTATGCTTGTGGTTCTGGGGCTGGTTGTGATGCCATACAGCCCAATGGGGCGTGCTACCAACCGGCTACGTTGCTTTCTCATGCTTCTTACGCTTTCAACAGCTACTGGCAGAAGAAAAAACAGGGCGGAGGGACTTGTGACTTTGGAGGAACTGCTATGCTCGTCACTGTTGATCCAAGTAAGACTCTCAACTACCTTAAAAGCTTTACTCTATGAGAGTACATTACAAACAACAGTTACTTTAACAATTACAATTACACATTAATAGGCAAAAGGGTTGGAAGTGCCTCCATTGACAGTGTGGCGTTGGCATGGCAGTGTACTTTTAGTCCTGTGATATATAGTTGACGTTGTCTGAACATTTTGACAGGTTATGATCAGTGCCGTTTCACATGCAACTGATTGTGGAAGACAACATTTGAGATTGAGAGGACCCCAAGACCGGATAGGCAGATATTTGCATATGTTATTTTACTACGAGGGACTGATGTAACCTCATACGATTCTTGTCTGTTTTTTCTCTTTTTTATTTGTTCTTTTAAAAGAACTCTATGGTGATGTACTACTTCTTCACAATTAAATGGGACATAATAGATGACCCTTAAATTTTTGCCAACTTCTGTCAATAATGAACAATGAAGCAAAAGCCTTTATCAAATAGTCCAATATCCAAAATAGATACTCCCGAAGTGTAGAATGCCAATTCATCGTACCTCAATTCCAACAGCTATGATTTTGCCTCCCCGGCACAGTAGGAGATAGGGGTGTAAACTGACCAAACCGTGCCGTACGGAACAGGTTTCTTTTAATAAAACCGTAGGTTTTTATATAAATTTATAACTGTACCAATAATTAGGGTAAGTTTTTTATTTTATAAAAATAAACTGAAAAAATACTGAACCGTACCGAATAAATTTACATGTGAAAAATATATTTATATATTAAGTTTAAGAATAATAATGTATTAGAATTTTCCTTGGACCTTAGAATTGTGAAAACGATTACAAGCAAATAAGTAACTTAACTCAAAATCTTAATTCTCAAACCTATAATTATATTCCTATTAAAACTAAATTATTTCCAACATACTTACTAGCAAGACACGAGCTATTCTAGCGATTAGTAGCAAACTACAATATATTGAATATGTTTCCTTTCATATAATTTAGATTTATCTTTATAAATATTTAATCTTCTATAGACTTTATTTTTGAGTTCCAGCTTGGTTATATATTTTCACTTGGTTAATATCTTTGTTTAGTTTCTTTTATGCTGTTGTAGAATAGTTGATGGATCTATACTCTGGAGAGTAAAAATATATAGAGAGTTTGTTATGTCTTATAAAAGTACGTATGTTATTGCATTCTATTTCTACTAGTGACTTTTACATGACATTCAAAAAAAATACCGAAAATTAACCGAACCGTACCGATACTGCAGAGAAACCGACATGACTGGGACGGTTTCGAAAAGTCTGAGTTTGGTTATGCATAATAGAATAACCAAAATATTGGTATGGTATAAATTTTAAAAAATAACCGTCCGAACCGAACCATTGACACCCTTAGCAGGAGAGGCAAATGAAAGAAGAAATCAAATTTGCTTTGGGAGTGTGTTCCTTTACGACATTCAAAGCTGAAAAGCTTTGTTGTTTATGTAAGCAATGCTAACTGTGGATTCCAAAAGGCTATTTAGTTCCCCCGACTACAGTAACCTAACCCAGAAATCAAGAATAAGGCATGTGAAGCACCCATTACTGAAAGCACATCGCAGTCCATCAGTTGATCTGAGTCAATGAAGTCGAGCCTTTTTTATCATCTAAGCGAGACATATTTGATAGATGTTTTGTCCATACTGGTAATAATATAATAATCAAAAGAAAAAGAATGGTTTTCCCTTGCAGTGTGGGGAAGAAGTGAACTCTACATATACACTAATCCAATTAAGAGATCAAACTGCAGCAGGAGCTTCAGTTGCAGAAATGTTTCACGTTGATCTCTTATTTAAATTGCAGTATGTTCATCAGATAAACCTAAAACCTCTATTGGCAAGGTCAATCAAACTGGTCACATATGACATTCTGGCAGTATGCCACGATCAAGAAGACAAGACATGACATGGAAGCTAGCAGAAAATTTTACTTCTTAAGGACATAACAGAAGGTTTTACGTCCGATAACGAGCCCTTCGGTTTCATGACAAGATAAAAGTAACACAATGTGCCAAAATGTTCTGTCCATGGAACAACTTGCATGCTTCTAAAGTCTACTATCTCTTCTACAAACTTAATGGAGACATGCCTCCTGTACCAAACAGTATTAGGTAATTACTGTTTTTTTTTAACTGCTATTAAGCACAGTGATTATCCACAAGATACCCTTTATGGAATTCCAGGCCTCTACTACCCTACTTTGACGTGACTATTTTCAGAGAAAGCTATAATAGCATCTATGATCATTTGAGCCAATCTTTCTCATCATCTACCAAATCTTTGAATTCTGCGACGCCGTAATTCTTCCAATGATAGGTCTTGAATCTCATCTGTTGAACTAAGAGATGACAACCCATCATCAGTACGACTTGTGCCACACATTTCACAAACACTTAACCAGCCTGAATTATCAAATGTACATGCTTCGCATCTCCACGTTTGAGATGTATCTCTTGTCTGACTGCCACCAACGGTTCCTCTACCAGCAATCCTTGGTTGGCTTCGGAATAAGCACTTCACAAACCTTAAAGGCCAGCTCAGTGCATGGGTAAGACCTCTCATGACGTTCCTTAGTGGATTTGCACCTGAATACGAAGCTTTTAAATGCAAAAACAGAAGGCCAGCAAGTATTCCACCAAGGTGCCCAAGAAATGAGACACCAGGTACAAACATTTGTATGAGAACGAGTTCTGCCCACGCAGCGTATCGAGTAGGCACCAGCAGCCCATGCACATATGTATAATCATCTGATTGTGCATTGAGAATAACTTTCATAGCAAAGAGGACACCAGAAAAGCCCACAGCATATTCCTTGTAGTAGGGTCTCTCGTAGTCAAAGAACAAAAGAAGTGATTTTGCAAGTACTAGTGTAATGCCCTGGGACATAGCAACTAAGGCCGCAACCGTCGATGCAAATTCTGCACTTCCCATTGATGTCTCCAATTGTATCCCCTTCCACAGAAGAGAAAGCATATTGTAGACTAGGTGAGAATCGTTCACATGGTAGAACGCTGACAGGAAGAATCGTTTCAGGTCCTTGTACTGCATAAACAAGGAAAAATGTCTATCGGGTGAAGACAATATAACAGTTTGTCCACTCGGACTTCCAAACACCCTGACATACAGCTCAAGACAAGAGTTGCAGTCATATGATTCACTACCAATACGGCAGAGAAGCAACATCAAAAGCAATGGCAAAAGGAATTTAGGAGTGTGAACATATCAAGTCCACGGGGCATGTATGTCTAAAATTACTATAGTATGAAAAAATTCACAAAGTCCATACTTGATACAGAACTCGTATTTTATTTCAGAAAGTACCATAATAAAGAAGCCAATGAAAGCATGCAAATTCTTGTAACAGCAGAGGAAAACTTTACAACTTCTGATCAACACAGTCATTTGTATCTTCTAAAAACTATATCAACAAAATGTGCAGCTTGCGAGCAAAAACTTATAACCTCAGACACACTTACAAGTTATAAAGAAGGATTGGCATGCCTTTCAGACAATCAGTAATATTAGGGTCCATTACTTTTAAAATTTAGTTGTTCAATAGAAGCCATTAATTTTCAGATATATTAAAACACAACCTGACAGAGAAATCTGCATTATATAACACGTTAACTGAAGAAATAGACCCTATAAGCTTATTTTTCAAAGAGAGGATAGAAATAGGACATCGGAATCCTACACTACACCTATCAAACAACTCGGAGAAGCTTGTTCTTCCTAATAAGACAACATTTTCACACAGTACTCACAGCATAAAGAAACAAATTTAAGAGAAAAATAAAGTTACACTCTCAGCAGAATTTGTTGAGTTATATAGGAAAAAGAGATACCTGTTATAAAAAGATATTGCAATCTTGTTGCTATAAAAGAGAAACTCAAAACTAAACAAAGATTTCCAAGTTCATTAAATGATAGAATAGCCAATAGCTGAACAAAAAAATTAACATGCCACATTACAGATTAGAGATGATGGCTAACTAAGGGTAGTTTTGATGTGTTAACTGTTAAGTTCAAATTCAAGGCCCGTATATAATTCCGTATGACCTGTTCCACGTCTACACCATTGTCTCCCCTTTCCCACTCCAGCATGTATTTGTTAGATACGTAATATGGGGAAATGTGAGTAACCAAGAAGTCTACAAAATATTATAAAAAAAGTGAGCATTTATTGGCAGCACATATTTGTTGGATATGTAACACGGGGAAAATGTGAGTAGCAATGAAATTTCAACAAAATTCGAAAGGATCACCAAATGGTTGGCAGAGCTACTCCATCAGTGTACTTGGGGTTCTAAGAATCTTCACTTCAATAGCATCATAGAATGAACTATTGAAGCCAAAACTGAAAATAAATCGTCTATATTGACAGAGTCATTTACTGGTACTCATCCAACTTTAACCAAACTTATAGCTTACTTCAAGAAATCTATCCTAGGGTTAATGGCCATATTGTAAATATGCAGTTACAAAAATAAGTTGTTCGAAGTAATTTTTTTTTTTTTGAGAAGGTGAAGTGTCCAGCATATTCAAAAAATAATCAGCACATTGTGCTAGAAGCCAAAATAGGCAATTACAATATGGAAAAGCAAAAATATAGTCCTTGTTCGAAGTAATATCTATAACATCTAACACGATTTCAAGCCTTGAAATTATTTCAATATTGAACCCTGGACACCTAAGAGTACCAAATCCAGCAACAACTACAACAACAAACCTAGTATAATCCGATGAGTGGAGTCTAAAGAGGGTAGTGTATACATAGACATTACCCCTACCTTGAGGATAGAGAGGTTGTTTTCGATAGACTCCCTGCTCAAGGAAGAGTACCAAATCCAGCAGGTGTCGAAATCTATACATCCTGTTATCACTTAGCATAGTTACGTGCCATCACCCGGTGTTTTCACCAAACCAATGTACTTTACCATAGTTAAGTAATAAATAAGGTGAAGATGGACATTAATTAACCATAGTAAGGTGATAAAAATGTATGCCAAAAACACATACTCCGTTCCAATTTATGTGAACCTGTTTGACTGGGCACGGAGTTTAAGAAAAAATAAAGACTTTTGGAATTTTTGATCCTAAACAAAGCAAAAAGGAGCCCAAAGTATTTGTGTGATTATAAAAGCTTTCTCATTAAGGGTAGAATTGTAAGTTTAAGCTAAATTGTTACCAAATTTAGAAAGGGGTCATTCTTTTTTAAACGGACCAAAAAGTAAATAGGTTCACATAAACTGGAACAGAGGGAGTACCACGTTATCATTAGATGTGGGTAAGTTTTTACCACACAAATGCAGCCTTAGTGCTACCAATGCAACCAAACCCAGAAAATAAACAAAATTTTAGCAAATATGAGCTTCTAAACTCATCATTTTAGAAGTATATTTTCCAAAAGATTTTTAAGGTTGAATCCATCCAAGTTAAAATCCTAAATCCGCTACAAAAAATTGAAAGCGAAGATAGGATTATACCTTAAGGATGAGGTGAGGATTAAACCAGACTTCACTGATGGTAGGGAGTAAAGGATCAAGAAAACTGGGCCTTAAGTATATAATTGTATTAGCCGCAAGAAGTCCTGCTGTAACCGGCGGTTTCCTCTCCAGTCTGCAGTATTCGCTTACTGTATGTAGCGCTAACAGAGGTAGCATCCCACGTGATACTGAACCCCACCTACCCCTTCCTCTTTCCATTGCTAATTTGTGTATTTGTTGAATGAATTGCAACTGTAGGAACAAGAGAATTGATCCAAATTTGTACCGTTTTACTTTCTTTAAATTGTCACCAAATTGGAGATGACGGTGGGAATTTGAATGAATTATGATTTCTGTTTACAAATCTTCTTCGACAAGAAAAGAGTATTCCAGATGCTTCGTTTGCCTTCCTGTATCCAAAAGGGGGCTATTCGGTATTGATAGGTCGATGCCGTACCCCAGATTCGACCAGAGAAATTCAGTTGGCGTGGTTAGCGTTTGTTACCATTTCTTTTCTGATTTTCGGTTTTTTGAAAAAGAAAAATTCAATTGTTTTTTAACGAAAAAGGGCCTAAAATACCCCTCAACTATCAAATTTGGTCTAAAATTGCCCTCATCTACCTTTTGACCTAAAAAAACCCTTCCCGTTAATGTTTGGGCTCACAAATGCCCTTCTTACTAACGGCCCACATCAGATTTTTAATTTAGGTGACGTGGCATTAAATTATTGGCTAATTTAAAATCCACCCATATTATGTCCAACCTACCCATACCCGACCCACCACCCAAAATCAGTCCATATTTTCTAAACCCAAAACCCCTCCTCAACAAAATACGACTGACTCCTCCTCTCTAAATTAGGGTTCCCCCAATTCTTGCTGCTCCCAACTTCTTCTAATTAGAGTTCTTAGATTTTTCCATCTTGTTTTAGCTTAAAATGTCGGAATCTTCTTCTGCTGCTTCTCGTGACCAAGGTGACAATCGTACATGTTATTGCGGATTGATTGCCAACCATTTTACTGCTACAACACCTTCGAATGGTGGTCGTAGATTTATAAATGTCGTCATTACGAGATTAATGGTTGTCGTTTTTGGGAATGGCGCGATGAAGAACTTCCACCTCATGTGTCGATGTTTATCCACAAGCAAAAACTTTCATTGAATGCCCTTCGTCAAGAAAGGAACAACCTCAGGAAGATGGTGTATGATATGGTTGGTGGTAAAGCTGCAGATGTGAATAACGTATCATTGGAGGAGAAAGTTTCAAACCTGGAGCAGAAATTGAAGCGACGGAAAAGACTTGCTACGTGGTCATGGATTCTTTTTGCTATTTTTATAGCGGGCAGAATGATGTAATGAAGTTGGTGGCCATTGCTGATGAAAAATTCCAACAGATCTACATATTTTTGTACTTCTTTTATGTGAATTAGTTAGGTCTAGGTATGATATCCTGGTTGTATCAATGATGGAAGTTTGCAGATATTAGTTATTTAAACTGGTTATTTTGGTTGTTAAATGAATGAAATCTGGAGATTTTTGTTATTTTAATTAGCTCTTTTGGTTGGTGAATGAAGGAAATGTGCATATTTCTTTATTGCCTGAACAATATATTGCCATTAGCATATGGAAAGTCAGATTTTCCCATTAGCATTCTGGCTAAACAACCAGAAAATTGCTAAACATGAGCACAAAGTATACCAACATGAACAAATCTAGTGGGGTAATACTATGTCACTAAGAATCCACCCTTTCGTTCCTATTTTTCTTTTTGCCAACCAAGAGCCTTGGGTAATAACAAATAACTATATAAATTGCTAAACTGTACTACAGTCTTGACTTCTCAATTTCTAATTAGCAACATTTTCCTGGAAAAGTTGAAGGCATGTAATATCAGGTTGTAATAGACTTAGGTGAAGAAGTGATTATTCAAGGTAGTAACTTAAATCAAACTAAATTTAGGTAGTGCACTTTCTGTATGAACTAGAAGACATGCTCTGTTTTTATATTTCATCTCACCTCTCTATTAAGTGAACTTATTATTTGACTGGTGATCTATTATGCCTCATGTCCTAGTCGGATCTGGAATGAAACCTGGCTAGCTGGATTCTTCTACCAACCATGTAACTACGAGTTATTTGTTAAGCAGACTCTTAACATGGAAATGGCCATCGTCATTAAGAATCTGAACCCTTTTCTCTTTACAGCAACCTTGCTGCAACATGTATTTGAGTTAAACATGTATGGGGGTTAAACAAATTGCACATCAACCTTGTTGAAACTCGAGAGCACAACAACCCTAAACAAATTGCACAACAACCTTGCTGCAACAGAGTCATGAAACAAAATTAACTGAAACTGGAGAGCATTTCTTAAAGCAACTTTGCTGCAACAGTACGTTTAAAATAGAGTCATGAAACTCACACTAAGTCTGAATCAACAATCGAATCAACTGATTCACAGTCATTACACAAAAGTTTATACAAAAGTCATTAAACTGAACATACTACTTAATACTTGGCCTTTTTAGTCTTCGGTTTTCCAATTTTTTTTCCTTTTCTGCTACCAACTGGCTTGAGGACATAGCCGATTTTCCTTTCCATGTGAGCTTCTTTGGTGAATAAGGCAGATCAATAGGCACATTGACACCATCTATATCTCCTTTGAAGGCAATCTTCCTGGTACCAATAGGTTCTTGATGCAACTTTCTTTGTTGAAGCCTAGTCATAGCTTCAAATATCACCTTAGGCATCACATCTGGTTCTTCGTCTTCATCTTAATATCCACCTTCATATTCATCATCAGCTAGTATTGAAGGTGCAACAGATTGTTGAACTGTATTTTGAAGTCCAGCAAATTGACTGGAATGTTCAGGAGAGGTCATTTTCACACCCGGAGGCGGCATGAAGGCAAATTCTGAATTTTGACTGTCTTGGGGTGCCGTCAAGGGCACATCTTGTACTGTTTGGGAAGTTCCTTCACCATTAGCCTACAAGAGTTATTCATTAGAAAACATTATGAATTAAAAAATTTTGTAGGTTAAGAAAATATGTGAAAATGACCGTTACCAAAGGGCATTTTCTTCTGTTGTGACCTGTTGTACCACAGAACCCACATGTCATTATAAGTCCCTTTCTTGAAGCTGACCAGACCCCCTCCCTCTTCCTGGCCTCATCCTTTTCTCTTTTTCTCTTTACCTTTGGTCTACCCACCGTTTTATGTACTTATGGTGGCTCCATTGCATGTTCTGGCTCAATTTTCCAAAATTTCTCACCTTTCACAGGTTGTAACTTGTGCATATATGCCAACATATAAGCTTCCTTTGAATACCACCAATGCACCTCGCTTAATGGATCTTGTTTGTCGTGCATTAAAGCTTTGATGGCATGAGGACATGGTATTCCTGTCAAATTCCAGGCCCTGCAAGTACACTTCTTTAATTCAAGGTTCACTATATACTTATCTTTACCCTCAACCACTTCATATCCGTAATCTCCATTAAAGACAACTTTGCACTCTATTGCAATCACTCTGTAATCATTGTAAAGCTCTATGGCATATGGGCTAATTTCTTCCTTCCAATTCCTACATTCCTCCTCACGGTTATTCAACAAATTCATTACCTACAATAAAAGGAGATCATTGAAAAAAATTAACAACCAATTTATAAAAAGTTAACAGAAGAAAGATACAAAATTTACCTTTAATCTAATGTCTTCTAACATCTTAATTATAGGTTTATTTCTAGCTTCAAGAATCCATTTATTGAATGATTCTGTAAAGTTATTATCAACCATATGATTCTTGCATTTAGTATCAAAATAAGCCCTACACCAATATTGAGGAGGGTAGTGTATTAGTTCCCTAGCAGCATCTTCATGAACAGCACCCAGAGTCTTCAGTTGATCCTTGAACTCTTCTTCATAGGTACTCCAAGCACACCACCATATTAACTTTTTCATCTCTATACCCCTCCAATTTTTGCTCCAATTAGCTTCAATGTGCCTAGCACACCATCTGTGGTTTGCTTTTGGAAGGACAGTAGAAACAGCCTCCAAAAGCCCCTACAACAATAAAAAAGTTAGTTACAAATAAAATGTAAATTAAACAAAGAGATAAAAAATTGACAAACAATTACCTTTTGCATATCTGACATAAATGTCACTCCTTCACCATCTTCAAGCTCCAAGGAATTTCTCAGTAACTCCATAAACCACTTCCAGGTTCTACCAGTTTCTTTATCAACTACTGCCCATGCAAGAGGATAAAAATATTTCACTGAATCTTGTGCCATGGCCACCAGTAGAATTCCCTCACTTCCCTTTTAGAAATGTGCCATCTAGGCCTATAAGAGGTCTCAAACCTGCTTTCCAGCCTGTTTTCAAAGCTTGGAAGCAAATATACATTCTAAGGAACCTTCTTTTTCCTTCTGCCAAAGCATCTTTAGATATGTTTATCACCACATCAGAACCAGGGTTACTATCCCTCAACTCTTGAGCATATGCCTCTAACCTATTGTAATCATCAATGAAGCTACCCTCCAATTTCTCTAGCACAAGCCTCTTTACCCTCTTCATCTTTGAATAGTTAACATTCATATTGAATTGATCCTCTAGGTCCACCCTCATGTCTTTCACTTTATATTTAGGATTATTTTGGACTTTGTTCTTGAAATAGTGCGCTAAAGCTTGAGGAGTAGCTCTTCTATTCTTGTATGCTGGCTGACAATTGTGTCTTGTTTTCAAAATCTTAATTTTAAATCCTTGATCTTTATTTTCCTTAGATATCAAGCACCTAAAAGGACAACCAACATCACATTTATAACTAACTCTGCTGGTGTCACTCTTAAAAACTTTAAGGCCCTTTTTATTAGCAATTGCATAAAACCCCACAATTCTTTTAGCTTCATCCAAATCTTTAAAACTCATACCCTCTTTCAACTCTTTATAGTTGTCGAGTTTGTCATTAACTTCTTTAGTCCTTTCCTTACTAAAGAGATCCAATTGATTACTATCATAATCACTAGAGTCAAGTTCATATGCTTCCTCTTCCTCACTTGACTCACAATCGGTGCCAACATCTACTGTGACACTATAAGGTTTATTATGGTGACTTATGCTAGGAGCTGGCACATGTTCTTCACCCTCATCAATAGCAAAGAATTGAAGCACACTAAACTTGTCAGAAAAGAGTTGTTGTAGTGTTCTGATTCCTGAATCACCTTCAACTAGAAAGTATCTACTCGAAGGCCCTGTTATCAGAAGTTGCTCCACCTTCTTAAACCCACATTTTTCAACGTATTCTGAACAAATGTCTATATAAGACAGCAAATCCACATCATAGGCCTGCAACACGTAAGTTAGTTTTTTAATGTACACTATTTGAGGTTTCAAGACCCATCTGCCCCCGTAATTCAAGACCAAGTCCACCTTTTCAACCATTCTTCATTGAAGTCACATGCAATCCATACAAGAAAGTAGAAAGTGACCCATCATATATATATACAGAAAAGTTAGAAGGAATCTATCAATATTTAATACACTAAAGTACAAACAAGAATAAAGTTTAATGGACCACAACCAACTATAAATGAAAAATAAACACAAAAACTTAGAATAAATAACTATTTGAGCAGACAACAAGGCCCCATCTGAACCCTAAATTGCTATCATCCATAAAAATAATAATTTAAAAACAGACAACAAAAAGTGAAGGGGACCATATGCAACCTCAAAATTGATAAATATTGACATCAAAAGCATCAAAAGGCAGTAAACATTCCCCACAACTCGAAAGTAACACTAGATGAAAGATTTCTAATAACCCTAACCATGTTTATTCAACAAAAACATTCAAAACTTACTTGAACAAAGATAGGATTTTATATTTGATCTTCAACTTGAATCTTGGAAGAGAAATAGCAAATAACAACCATATGATTTACGGGGAGCAGCAAGAATTGGGGGAACCCTAATTTAGAGAGGAGGAGTCAGTCGTACTTTGTTGAGGAGGGGTTTTTGGGTTTAGAAAATATGGATTGATTTTGGGTGGTGGGTCGGGTATGGGTGGGTTTTAAATTAGCCAATAATTTAATGTCACGTCACTTAAATTAAAAATCTGATGTGGGCCGTTAGTAAGAAGGGCATTTGTGAGCCCAAACATTAACGGAAGAGTTTTTTAGCTCAAAAGGTGGATGGAGGGCAATTTTAGACCAAATTTGATAGTTGAGGGGCATTTTAGGCCCTTTTCCGATTGTTTAAACATACACTTAGGGGTGGGCATCGGTCGGTTCGGTTCGATTTTGAACATTATCGGTTAATCGGTTATATATCGTTATCGGTTCGGTTATCGGTTTACCCGATAAGATAAAACAACTAAAAAATTTTGCAATATATAAAACAAAGAAATCAAACTGCCAGAACGTGTAAACTGCCAACTTTTGTTGTTTCTTAAC